CCCCTTTGAAAAAAAAACAAAACAAAAACAAAACCCACAGCACTTCATCGCTTGCTTGACTTCACTAAAGGATGACATCAGCTTTCATGCACATATTTTGCCACTCTGCATCAAACAACTGACAAATGATACAACCGTACTTAACACACACTGAGCTCTTGTTTCAATTTAACTACTGCATAAATAAATAATTCTGCCGTCAAAAATGATTTGTATGTATGTAAAAAGTCATGACAGAGACAGTGTTGCTTTTCTGAGTGGTCTCAAGAATTTGTCGGTTAGCCTTGAGTTGAGTGACTGCACAGTACTCGATTAATAGATTATAATTTGATTTATTACAGTATTCTCCATGAAGAAAAAAGTAGACCTGCATGGAATGAGAACAGGTGTTTGGAACCGATTTATTATAACAATACCTCGTACACTGTGAGCTAACAATGACTTGTAAAAAAAGTTGACTGGATGTTTGTGGTATAGGAGACATGCCATCTTTATAATGGATCGACTGCACTATTGCTGCGAGAACTGAAAGTTTAAGAACAGAAGAAAAAAAATTTAGTAAGGCAGTTGATCATGTTTACAGAAATTTGCAGACAAGCAGACCAATCAACTTTTTAACTGTTCTCAACTGACTGTACTGTACATAAGCGTTTTTATGTACAGAGACCTGTGATTGTTTTTTTGCATGAAATATGTACGTACGTATGTAATATGTATGTTGTTATTGTGTTATTATTTCTAGTTTCATGAAAGTTGGTGTACAAATGAAAATCCTTTATAAAAAGATTATTATGTGTATGCAGAGACATGATATTCATTTCCTTCGAGGTTGTGATGACAAATAGTACTGACACTCTGTATTTGGTGCTTATAATCTTTGAGTGAATTTGTGGAATAATTAGCATATTATATACGATAAGTTCTGACTGAAGGTAGTGATTTCAAGATGGAGGCAGGGACATAGATTTTTAGGTCTGGGTGCCCGAGGAAGAGATTTGTCCTGTCAACACAAACTTTTCATAATACAGAACATGGTGTTGACTCACCAGAAGAGTTTGATTAAAAATCATAGTATGAAATTTCCTTTAATTTTCAGAGATACTTCTTTATTTTACTAATGTACTTCACATATCCTTCCCACATGTTATACATTTCTTTGGTGAGTTTAGTTCATTTGAGCCAGTCAACATTTATAACATCTTCGGTTATATCAGTTACAGCAAGACATTAGCACAGTTATATATATATATATACAACAGAACTGTAGACATATGGCTACCTCAGAATTATGAAGTTTTATCTGCTCAATAGAATCTACCTAGTAGTTTTTAGAAATTTGATGACAAAATTTTATTAGAGTTTCACACTCAGCTTTTTCGAATGCAATTCTTTGGATATCTTGATAACGACTCCGGATATTCTTATGATTTCGATAGAGCATAAAAAAAAGTCAGATAGAACTTTGTAATTCTAAGGTAGAAATATCTCACTTGCTCTTTTTGAAAAAACTAATTTTAAAAAAATATTCAATGACGACCAACAATTTAAAAACATGCAGAATTTTACAGAAAACTGGAGTAACCTGAAAGAAGCTGTCCAACTGGCTCCACGGATAATTTCTAGCAAAGATCTGTGAATGAGGCTTAGTTCTAAATGGTAAGAGATCTTTGATAACATTTCCAGCCTCAAGAATCCTTCAAAATTTTTAAAAAGACAATAGTAAACTCAGTTTCAATAATATATATATAGATGTCTAATGGTATACAGTGTACATTCCATTTACTTTATCAAACAGTGAGGGGGTATAGACTATTCTATATACATGCAAAGTAAAAATGAGGATTGATTCTTAAGTAATCTCATCACACATTCCAATATAGTGCCTTTTATATATTTATATACCTGTGCAATTTATACACAAAACTACAGCGTATGTTCATGCTATGGCTTGTTGTTGCTCTTTTGCAAGTTCAGATGCGTTGTGTGACGTGACACCTCTCAGCCTAGAGCAGAGGTACAACGTTCATCTCATTCTCTTAACGAAACAGTCTCATGTAATTTGTTTTCTTACAACATACATTCATATACTACTTCAGAATAAAGACATGTAGCCCACTTACTTTGAAGTAAACGAACAATAAAATTTGATTGTGCTTCTTCATACTGGATGTTTTCAAGTTGAATCGATTTCAGTTGCATAATATTGACTGTTTGTTGTCTGTGGCAACGGGAGATCATTTACTCGCCACATGTTCTGGTTCATGCCATCAGAGGGTCTGCGTAATCTGCTTTGTGCTGATCTAGGAAAAAATGAAAACCTGCAAAAAAAGTTTTAGTCCTAAAGATAATGGTGGTGAGATGACATGAAACTTGCAGTTACAACATAAATCCCCAAAAGTTGATTCTACTTCTCAATCATTTTCCTTTATTGTAATCATTGTCCACATTTCTCTTTACGCTATTTGTGTGTGTGCCTGGAGAAAAGTCTCAGTTGTCGGCAAAGCTATTTTTGAGCAACAGGGTGAAAAGGCCAAAACAGTTGTACCAGGTAAAAAAAATTTTTCCATCAGAAAACGCATGTTTAACCTTTTTTTGATAACATATTGAAATGATTTTATAATATTTTAAGTCCAAAGCAACATACTGAAATTCACCAAATGTAAAAAATGTGCTAGAAATTGGGTCAACATACCATTCAAGGTTAAAGCCGTTTTTGTCCAAACTTTGTTTTTACACCCTGTGTTACGAAATGTGACAGGATCTTTAACACTACTTGAGATATTGAAAAGATTAAAAAATCAGATTACATTTGCTACAAGAATATGCCTTTATTTCAATATCCAAAATTTCTGACAACTGGACCTTTCTCCAGGAACACACACATTTAATCATTACTATTGTGATACACGTCTTTGGTAGAAACCAAGGCAAATGCACAGTGACGACGAACAACAGTGAGCTGCAACAATATTAAAATATGCATAACTTATGCACATTTTAGTAAACAAACCACATTCATAACTCAGCAAATCAACAACAATGTCCACCTGACCCTAACAACTGGTTCCAGCCTGCTTTTAGTATACACATACTTAAGGGTCTCTGGTACATTCTCATTCACTCACTGCTGCACATTCAGTGAGGCTGTACCATGAATTTTAGTAAGAGCTTTATGGCACTAACAAACCACATGATAGCACCTGCCTACCACCCACAATGTACCATAAAAACTGGTTCTTCTGAGCTTACGCTAATCAACCAAGTAACCATAAAAATCTATAACCAATTCACGTTACGTAATAGAATACACATTTCCAGTTCTGCCGTAAGCTGAAAAAAAAAAGCCTTTTTTTCATTCATTGCAGATTCAAGATAAAGAGTTTTTTTGCCAGCATAACCATTTCAAAAAGGTGTATTTCTAAAATTTAAATTCTAATTTATTTTTAAAAACTAGTCACAGTTTCACTCTGATTTTTTCACACTAGTAGGGTAACCAATCAGGCTTTCGATTTAGCTAATAAAAAAATTTGGCACCAAAAATGAAAAAAGGCATTTTGTCAGGTTACAGCAGAGCTGAACAGACATCATCTGAAACATTAACATCTCCAGACACGTTATATTTTACATTTAATCATACAGTAACAACCATCAGGCACCACTGCTCTTCAGAAATATGCTGCATATCAACAGGAACACTGTACACAGGGGCTCTCGTGGCCTAGAGGTTAAGGTGTTGGCCCCTCACTCAAAAGGTCCCGGGTTCGAATCCGGGTAGCGACAGAAAAATTTTCTTCTCTAAATTTGTCTCCTTTCACCTCATTTCGTGCTCTCTAGCAATGTTCTTTCGTCTGCTTTCGTCTCCACTTTCTGCCCTCACCCCGTCACCTCCTTTGCCCCTTCCTCTGGGCTCCTGATTCTATCTGCAGCCTTTCTACTGCTACTCCTTCGCTTCTTCTTACTGCAGTCTTTCAGCCACACCCCTGATCTTCTGGTAGGAAAGATCTACACCTAGCATTCTCGGACAAGGGCGAAAAATCTCGGAGGGCCCGTGTGCAAGTTGCGCACGTTAAAGATCCCTTGGTGGTCTAAAATCGATAAGAGTAGGCTTCGGCCGCCACCCGGGCAAAATTCAAAATTTCCTACCAACTGAAAATATTAGGTGTGTCCCGCGCGCTCATATGATCTATGCAGTTGCAAGCGCCGTAAAACACTCTACTATAAAAAAAATAAAATAAATAAAACACTGTACACAGAGATACACAAAGATCACTTCTCCAGACACACAACACATACATCACTAGACACAACAGAGACTTTTGTATCTAGATTTTAGCCTACTTTATCACAACCCACAGACTCCAACACTTCGAGCCGACCATGAATACTCATTCTAAAGTGGGTAATTAGCAACAGGGAAACATATGTCACTACAATAGTACTGACAAGTGTGAAAAACCTAGGCTTGCATCAACCCCAGTAAGCAATGCTTAACCCTTCCAGCCCCAGCCATTCTTGTGCACTCCCTAACCCCAGTCCCAGGCAATAGAGCAGTATTTCAGAAAAAGAGACATGCATCCTAAAAATTGATGTAATATCTTTGTAATGAGCTTCAGATAACGTATGACAGTGTTTAAAGGTAAGTGGACAAATATGAAAATTAAAGTTTAATTAGGTTTGCTGCCATTTCGAAAAATGCGCAAATTTGGTACCCCCAAAACTAAGAATATACGCTCTTGGGATGGAGGGAGGTACAAACGCTGCTGAAATATAAATATACGCGCATGGAGCTGGAAGAGTTAATAAAAAAAAGATGCCATGCCTGACAATTCTAGGCAGAAGTTACAAAGAAATAACGCTAGAAAAATTAAAGTCATACATCAGCTTATATGGCAGATTCTGCATTTAAAACTGATTTTAAAGAGAAGCCAACTCCGTAACTGCAGATATTTTACACACCTTTTGATACAATTTAGATCATTCAGGGGTGCATTACTTCCTTCCAGCCTATCAAGATCAAACTGGGTTGATAACTGAGCGAACAGTTGGCTGGGTTGGTGATACTTCATAAATAAAACCCCAAAAACCTCCTGACAAGCGAATCGAACTCATGTCTTCTGCGTGCAGTGGTAAAGCACCTAACCACTTCACCACAGACGCCAGTGCCGACCAAGTGCCAAAGGTTGTGGCATATAAATGGCAAAAAAAGGAATTACTATTCGTCTTCCCCAAATATGAATTCACGCAGCACATTTTTCACCAACAATTGTGCTGATACATTTTCCTCACTAAAAATAAAAATAAGGCTACAACTTGAAGTCAGGGATAGCAGGTGGCTGGAGGGTACCAAGGATAGGTCCTGCTTCTTTATCTTCCCTCTGTTGGTCTATCTTGCTTTTTCCCATCACTAAATGACCATTATTGTGTCAATGAACTTCTCTTTACTCAAACAAACTTTTTTTTCTCTTCTTCCTCGTTCTTGATGACAGCAGCTAGACAGTCCGATGTCACGCACAAACTGTGCAGTTCGCTTCAAATCTGAGAGACTGCAATAGAGCTTTCTCTCAAGGGGAGTCACATTCTGCCACATCTGTGTACGAAGGGTGGCGTAGCGCGGGCAGTGCTGAAGGATATGGTTGGCATCCTCTTGGTCGTGTACACATTCACAGATCGCCGACTCTCCCACTTTTAATTTAGTGTGCATATGGTGTTTGAGTCGGTTGTGGCCACAACGGAGTCTAAAGATTGTGACCTGGTCTGATCTATTTAGTATGTAGTAAGAGTCAAGTCCGTTGTGTTTAGGGTGGACTCAAACAAACAATCTGAGGGATCAATTTTTACCATAGCCAAGCCTTCCACTGAGACAATCCCATGAAATAAACAATTGGCACGCCCAGAGTTGTGTTATAAAATAGCACCGCACTTCATTCCCCCCCCGAACCATGAGGAAAAGACACTTTCATACACAGTGTTCTTTGCCCGTCTCATAAAGACACTGGGGCACCGATTCGGAAAGACACGGGCAGCTCGGGAACAGTCACAACATTCTGGGCTTTTTTTATATTTCTCAGAGTACGATATTCCGACAGTTTCCTCTCTCCCACATCGTAAGATTTCACCATAATTGAGAATTCCTCATCCCCGCTCATGTCCTCGGCACCAAAGTCTTCATCCTTTCGTTCCAGAAATATGAGTAACCTTCTGGATTCAACCACGGAATATTTTAATTTTCCCTCACATTCCAGTGAGTCTTGGTACAACGCTGTGCCTAATTCACCCGAATGAGGCCGTCTAAACACAGACAGATGTAGTCGCTCATCTTGAGCAAGAACGACGAAGTAGTCTAAAGGAACGCCGGGAACAATGTGTATGGCAACAGGACAGGTGGGAACAGGCTTCAGAAGGGCACTTCTATCCAGCATACTCCACCTCTCAGTGTCGGAACTGAACGCATAGACTTCCCACCCTGAGTCTATGTAGTAGAATGTGTTGTAGTGGACGGCTGTCACTGGTTTAATCTCATGAGTCGGCATTTGCTGCAGGCGGTGCCAGCTCTCTGTAATGTAGAAAAAACAATTTTTTAAATAAAAAAAAGAAACCCTATTACACTCCATCAAGCTTAAAATTCATTGAAGTCTGAAATATTTTCTAACCGTTTCAAGACATATCGGCCATAGACTGGCCCCATAACTGGTTATTTCCATATAATACATCATGTACCATTCATCCTGAAAGTGTTGAGGAAAAGGCAGATTTTACTTGCTGTACAAAAACAGACAATAAGACTTCACTTTTCCAACTGTTGTTATTGACCTCAGAGGCACTATATATAACTTGGCAACAACACATTTACAGTAAATGACCCTGAGACAGGATCTGATCATTGTCCCACACATTGTGAAGACTTATTGATAGCTGTCTGTTTACAAAGTAACTGAGTTCTTTTTCACAAAGACAAATCAAAAGTCACGAAATGAGCCACTATGATGAGTTTGAACATGATATACATAAAGATGTAGGTATTAAGTAGAAAAACTTTGCAAGCCCCACAACTTGTTAAAAACAATACTCATTTAGCTGTTTGCAATTGTCTGCTGGTCAGTTTGTTAGTGTTTGAGCGCTTAACAGCTGCTTGCACTGTATGCTTCTCAGGAAGTTGAGAATGTTTCTGAGTGTTTTATGGTCTGCTGGGGTACTAATATAGTGAAAAGCGCACAGAACTTGCTGTTGAGTGGGGTTATGCGCTATTCAAATGCTATTTATTATATATTTATTATTTATTATAAGTATACACAGATTTGAAGATGGAGAGCTGTAATCTTGAGAAGTGAAGTTCAAGTCTCTAGGAAACAACATGCCAAACTATACATGTATATATTCAGTAGACAACTTAAGTTTTTTTCACAGATAACCAAACTCTTGCATTTGTTTAAAAATTTGTCAAACATTAATTCACTGATTAGCTAAAAAAGAAAAGTACTAAAAAAGTAAAAGTAGGGAACTCTTGTCTTAAACATAGGATTTCTGCCTAAAACTTGGCTTTGATAGTACAAAAAACCAACACAAGTCATAAATAGTTTGCTGAAACTAATTCCATTTTTAAACAAATGTTACAAAAGTAATGTGTTTTTCTGTTTAAACAAAAATGATTAAAAACATGAAAAACAATTCAAATGGCACATACTTTTCTCCAGATCAAAACAGTCCAGTTCAGAGTTTTTCACTCTGAATTTTCCAAATCCGCCAAAGATATAGAGCTTGTTGCCAATGGCAACCATGGCATGGTGACGTCGTGTCTCAAACAACTCCCCAACTGCCTGCCATCGGTCACTCTCACAGCTACAGTCAAATCTCCACAGTTTTCGGATCCAGTTCACTTTGCCAAACCCAGGCCCGCCACCGGACAGATAAACATATGGACCTGAAGGAATCAGAGATGAGAGAATCAAATGAACAAATTAATGATGTTCGTCATTCAGTTCAAAGTTTCAGGCCTCACACACATAAGACAAAATATACATTTAGTTAAAACAGCTAGATTTATGTCATTTTTTTTTTTATAGTAGAGGGTTTTACGGCGCTCGCAACTGCATAAGGTCATATGAGCGCCAAGGGGCGGGTGTCAACAGAGAAGTCTTTACAGGGAATCAGACTTAGACTGCTCACCTCTCTAGCTTCAACAGCACAAGGTCTGCTTCGACTATCAAGGCACCCCAAAATAGCAGGTCACAAGAGAGTGACAAACATACAAAATAAGTAGAGGAAAATGACAATAGTAGTAGTAGTAGTATAAGGTTTTACGGCGCTCGCAACTGCTAAGGTCATATGAGCGCGCTGACAATAGTAAGGATCAGGAAAGAAAAAGCAGCAGTTCCCTGCTGTAGATCAGGCACATTTATGAGTGTGAGTCAGTCCATTTACAATTCTACTATGCTTGAACGAGGAATGTCTTCTTCCCTTTGGGAATGGCCTAAAGACACTTCAGTCAGTGGCACTGCCCGGGGGGTCGATTTATGTCAGGGGGATGTTTTTGCACAAGAACTCAAAACGGACTACATTTTTCTGAGCATTGCATTACATTTGATTACATGTAATAATTCTTATCTTGTAAGAAGAACAATACGATGAATAAAAAAATTAATGACATTTGTCATTCAGTCAAAGGACTCGAGCACTGAAAGACAAAAGAAATAAAACAGCTTCATGGGGGTCCTGTGTATTTTTACAATAAATACTCCTTATGGAATGTATTTTTTTTTCAGCGTGTTTTTGGTCCTGAAAGAACCAGTATTCAACATATCAATAAATGAAACAAGTTTATATGGCCTCAGATACAATACGAAAAAATAGTCGAACCGGCTCTGACCTACAAAAGACAATCAGCTGTACAAATAACCACTTCCCAACCCCCTTTTGAGGTTTTTTTTTCTTCTATATTATGACAACGTTGTCGACGGGGACCACCTGTCATAAATGACCAATATTCACCTCAACAATGGGTGGTTAAATTTGGACAACTTCGACTGTAATTTGCATTTTTGTAACTCCTTTAGCCCTTTGTTGAATCTTTTCTAATTTTTTTGGACACTCTTCAAGGTGCTCAAACAACTTTTTGAAATAACCAGGGCACAAGGAAATTTGTTTCATGGCTCTCCATCACTACTGACTACTTAACATATCCATCAAGCATCACCCTTGCTTGATGCCTTCCTTTCTTATGAAAGTTTCAAGCACAGCGTATTCAGTGTTGACACAAAAAGAACATTGGGTTAGCTATGGTGCATACTCTACAATAGTTTGGACACTTCATCAAGGTGAAAAACCTCTAAAAACTCGAAAACAAATTAGCCCTACCTAATATTAACAAATGATAGGTTAAAAAAAGAAAAACAATCATGCTACTTTTAGGTGGATGGGACACATATATTTGAAAGTCGAGTTTCAATTCTTATATACCTCATGTAATAATGAACAAACACTTCAAACCAACTAAGCAAACAGTACATCCTGCTAACCAGTAAGTATAAAGGTGTGTCACAACACTGTGGAGTCAGACGCTTGTCAATTTTGGGGGGTATGGAGTTATTGATATTACACTTTGAGTAGAATAGAGATGTTTGTGACTGAAGAAGGCAGAGGTCACCTGGTGTCAGATGTAAAATCAGCTAGAAAATAACCTCCAAAGTTTGGTGACTTCCAAACCTTGACTGTCCTTAAAAACTTGGCAAATTTACAATTTTTTGTGCCTTTGATGAACATTTTTCAGTAAAATCCACACAAAAATATACTTTCAAAAAGACATAACAGGTACTGAGCCTAAAAGAGAAAACATTTAGAAAAAATTGCCCAATGGCAAGAAAATTTTCAGTTTCTTTGATATCATGATTTTGATGAGTCCCTAAATTTCACCACAATGCCTCATATATATTCATTACCTCTACAACACAAAGCCGAGCCCACATCGCAGCCAGGAAGCTCCAGCACCGTCCTCATGCTGTCGAGGAGAAGACCTCGAGAGGTATCTGGACACAGCTTGACCAGGTCCACCAAGCCACTGGCCTCTGTCGATGTCAGGAGTGACCAGAACATGAGAACACTCTCTTGCCTCGGTCTAGAAGCGAATATATCCTAAAACATGAGAGAAAGGAGGGGGGAGGGGACATATGACAGTGATGACATTTCTTTTCACGACAATAAATCTAAGGACATTTTAGTTTGTAAGAGAGCAGGAGCAAAGATTTATGACTGTTCTTGTTGAAGGTAACTTGGTCAACCAAAAATAAAGAATATCAAAATAGATCCTAGGAAAGACAGGTAGATGTGTCCCAGAAAATTTCTATTATTCTCAAACTAGAACAGTGCAGAAGAAAAAAACAACCTACGGGAATTTCTTTCTGGAACAGCTGGGAATCTGCACTTATGACAGCTTTAGTGGTGATCTCCAAGGCTTTGGGGTGGTCTCTGAGCCACAGACATGAGGAGAGGATCTCGGCTGTCTTGTCTTGGTGACTGGGATTTTTGTGGAACCATTTCTTCAGAGCCTGTAAGACCTGAAAGAAGTACAACAGTGTATGGGTTAACAGACTCTCTCATCACAATAAGGCTATCAAAGAGGTGTAACCTCTACTTTAAACTTTAACATTAATTCCAAATTCAGTTAAAGCAAAATGAATAGAGAAATTTAAGAAATCCCCAAAAGGGACTTGAGCCAGTGGGTCAAAACAGCAATGACACACAAACGTACAGAGCTAATGGTGGGCCAGGAGCTAGTAGGACATCACTTTACAACAAATTCGGACACAAATAAATATGCCATACTTAGTTTCTCATCTATGTTAGGACACTTTTTTCCAATCATGTCTGTTTCTTCACTTTCCAGTATGCTTTTTCTTGATCCACAGCACCATCTGTACTGTATAGCTGAAATTTGATCATGAAAGTGTTCCACACAGAATGCAATAAGTCTTTTCTTCAGTGCATAAACTTACATTGCATACATTCATTATGTCTCAGTGACCTCGTTATCATATGAGGAATAGAAGAAATAGCAAAGTAGGCAAAGGGCATATATATATATATTTTCCCCTACAGATATTTGTAGACTGAAGCCCACTATATCTCCAAATTCAGCCTCTCACACAGGACACATATATATAAGTTTCTATCAACAACTTTGAGAAAACAATTGACCAACTTGTAAGCCTCATAACTTTAAGGCTGGCATTATTAAAACTGATAATGAAAAAAAAATTACATACCTCAGCTTCATGATCCACACAAAGATTTTCATCTGACAGAAAATTCACCAACTGTTCACTTGTCAAAGAAGAAAATGAAGAATGATGCCACACCTCAATGAAATAAGCCAGACAGAATCTCCTTGCCTCATCATATATGTCCTGTATACTATACTGATCAGCAAAGAACAAAATCTCAAAACAATTGTCATAGTTTATGGTCTGTTGAAAATATTCAATACACTGATCAGAAAGTGTTTCTTTGACTTGCAACATCTGCAAAGTCTCTGCAACGCTGAACATATTGCTTGTATTTAAACTCAAGCTTCCAGAATAAAAGGCTTCCACCAGTACTTTGAATGGCTCACATTGCACGGAGTGTAATTTTATTTCTCTTTTAGTCTGCTCCAGCATTTGTGATTGAAACATGGCCTTGAAATAATCACAAGACTGTTCCAGAACATCTTTGTGGACATGAAAACAGCAACCCTCCACATAGAGGTCCAGGTCTGTGGGTCGCTCATCCAGTGAAGGACATACTGACCACGACTGAGAGGCGGTATCTCCAGAATCACAGCTCAGATCAACATTATCCATTTCTTAAAAGGGCTCTCTTCCTGTAGAAGAAAGAGGAGAAAAAGTTGGTCTACTGAGTGAAAAAAGTTATAACTCAAACACTGTCCAGCAGGAAGCATTGGTCCCCTTACCTTTCATAAAAGATTCTGCAAAAGGCTACCCTTACTGATTTACTCTACACTGAACTAGGACGTTAGAAAACCCCACTTTATGAACATTTTGGTCAGGGGTAATATAAAGTTTGACGCATCACCAACAGACTGAAAGGCTATTTCAACCTCTGAATTTAATTTTGTGAAATTCAAATTGCAACAATAATGACTTCCCCCTACTCAAATTCTCATTTAACATTGTGCTAATAGTATGAGTACATAGCTGCCGACTTTTCAAAACCTAAAAAAAACTCTAACGATGCGGGTAAAGATGGTGTGCATTGCACAAGAAACACACCTTCATCTTCAAAGCCTTCACACACACTTTTCTGCATGAGATAGATTCAAACTATCCCAAGCAGACCTTCAACAATAATCTCAGTAGTGTTAAGTGTAAAGGCCTCTACAATTAAGTTTTAAATGGAATTAGTTCTCTTACTATTCGCAAATCCTGTTTTGAAAGTAATAATTTTTTCTTAAGACCGGCAAGTCTGTGAAAAGCAATACTAGACATCAGAGTTTATATATTTTCCGACACCGAAATGGCTAGCTTAGCCTGCCAATCTAGCCGTCCTAAAGTAGGCTAGATGTTAGGTTAGGCCCTCTTAACTGAAACCTGTTGAGGATACACAGGTCTAATTAGATCTAGTAATCATTCAGATATTAAATACATGCATGTCAGAAAGGTACCTTTTGGTTTCCTTGGAAATACAAATACTTTAGGTTTTGCAAACTAAAATTTTATTTACAATTCAGCCATTGTCCTTAAGTACGGCTAGCCTAGCTCCTAGCAGTCTAGCTGTACTTAACATAGGTCCTATTGACCGAAATCGAGTACACAGGTCTCATTAGCAATTATTCAGGTTTAAAATACATGCACTGTCAGTCCAGGTCAGCTCTATATGTTCCCTAACGTCATTTTCAGTATAAGTCACGCTTGACCACCGGTCACTCTGACCATAAGTTGACCTCTGGTCATCATTTAATATTTAACTTGAAATGGGAACATAGAGCAGAGGGAACATAGAGTGGTTTGTTAGGAGAATTAGCTCTATATTCCCTCAAGTCAAGAGATATTTATGTCGTGTAATATGGTATGGCATAAGTCATGGCACATGGCAGGATATAGCATGTAACTTGACTTGAGGGAACACGGAGCTGAGGGAACACGGAGCTGAGGGAATACAGAGCTGAGGGAACATGGAGCTGGGGGAACACGGAGCTGAGGGAACATGGAGCTGAGGGATCACGGAGCTGAGGGATCACGGAGCTGAGGGATCATGGAGCTGAGGGATCATGGAGCTGTGGGAACATGGAGCTGTGGGAACATGGAGCTGAGGGAACATGGAGCTGAGGGATCACGGAGCTGAGGGATCATGGAGCTGAGGGATCATCTAAGACATGGTGTGTATGCTCCCTGTCAGTAAGGCACCTTTTGGTTTCGTCTAAAATACAAATACTTTAGGTATTGCAAACTAAAAATGTATAATTCAGTAGGCCTATTTTTTGCTGTTTATCAGTCTAGACATCATTATTAAGTATTAAGTACGGCTAACCTGCCAGTCTAGCCGTACTTAGCCTAGCAGTCTAGCCGTCATTAAGTACGGCTAGCCTCTTCCTTTCGACACAAAAATATACTAAGTTTGTACTCAGAAACCCCAAAACATACTACATTTTTTACGCAGGCCTACTGCTTGGCACAGCTTTGACTTAATTAATTAGAACATCAATTTGATCCAACATTCATCACCAGTGTATATGTCAAGGATATTTTATCATCCAGCTAGCTTTGTGACACCAAAATAATCTGTTTTTGTAGTTTTAAATCAGGGTCTTCCATTTGAAGAAATACCAAGCTTGATAGTAATATTATATCTCTATAGAAGTAAAAGTACAGATCAGATCGGAGTAGAAATCTTCATCATATATATTGTTGTAGAATTAGCTAGCTACACAACTCAGAAAACATAATGTTTTCACAAAGTTTTCACAAACTTTACAAAGAATGAAAATAGCTGTATAAAAAAAAAAGCCTTGATATCATAAATATACTTTAAAGAGTTGGAAATTCTGTGGAAAAACGTTATCCATCCACTTTTCCTGCTTGCATTGAGACAATTAAATTCAGCAGTCAAATCATTTTTCTATTATTATTACTACATGCATTAAAGCCAACTAACAAAATATAAAAAATACCTATAAAAGCCTCTTGAATAATATAAATATAAGAAACAGAGGGAAACACAAAATTTAAAATTATTTGCAATCACAGAGCACTCAGTATTAGACTCTTAAACTTTGTCTTTAAATTTCATAGATCAAGACAGACTCTTTAAATCCCCTTTCCTTCTTCATTCAACCTACACAAAAACCCAACCCCAAAACAGATAAAGGCTGTCAAAGGGCCATTTTCATCTAGTAGACACCCTCTATAAGTCTTCAGTTCTATAGTGTGGGTGCCCATAATATGATACACAGATGGCAAAGGGACTATTAATCCTAAATTCTTGATCTCCTAATCCTAAATTTTTTTCTAAGATTCTCTGGTGAAGCAGTGCTAAACATTGTTGGAGGTACTGATGTTTTACAATTAGGTTTGAATAGGCTACAGTCAAACCTGTGTAAAACGGCCACCCATTGTCATGGAGAAAAGTGGCGGTATACCACAGGTGGCCGTCTTAGGCAGGACTGATAAAAATGAAGTTCTATAGCAAACTCTTCCAAGGTCCAAACCAGGGATGATCTGAGGCTTAAGACTGCCATAGTCTAATTCCAAAGGGTTTAAAAAAATTTTTTTAAAAGGGGGTGTGGGTGGTGCAAGAAAGCTATTTTGCTGCGGTTTTTTTTAGGGGGGGGGGGGGGGTTAGTCTAGCTTTCTTTTTTTGTTGCTGACTTTGTGCAAGGGCCAGCAAGGGTTAAATAAATGAAAAATTATGTAAGTAAGACGATGAAGACCGAGTGCCATTGTAAAACAAACACACGGGTCGCCACCACTCGGAGAACAATGTCGCAATTTAACGTCAACGTCCATGGTTACTTTTTTACAGATTAGGTATATATCTAGATCTAGATCTAAACACAAAACAGAGTGACCAGCCACCTCACACAGGATTAGTGCATTAATTGTGGGTGGGCTTTTTGGTTATGATGGATCACGCTACAGTAGTCTCCGCCTAAATGCACGGTGCTCGGGAGGGCTCCTTGGCGTGTGTTTACACAGAGCGTGCGTTTACATAAATCTTTGCAAAGGGAGGAAGAGGCGCAGTCATCTCAATTTCTTATCTCTAGTGACCTCCTTTGGAGGGAGGGGATCATCAGATTATAATGTGACAACACGTGACTGTTTTGTGAAGGATTCCCCGAGTGGGGTTAAGAATACAAAGGCATTGAATGGGGAGGTGGAGATGGACTCAATGTATTGAATATATGCACTATAAACGTCGAGAAAAGATAGATAGCCTAAGAGGAAATTGTTAGTGATAGTCATAGAGACGACGGCCCAGCCACGTGGCTTTCCAAGCGACCACCCCCGACCGCAGATCTTTTATAAATACAAGCAAAATCATTCTCTACGTTCAGAGAAACATTTTCTCTTGTTTTTCGTTGAACACGTACATGTACGTTTTTCGAGTGCAGCTGATTAGGCTTACTTGGCTAATCTTTAATCCTATAGCGGCCTGTCAAGTGTTTTACAGCATTTACGGGTGTCGCGCATCAGGCATAGAATCTAGAGGTCTAACTAAACGTTACGCAGTCTCTGAAACACCAGTCAGAAACCTTCTCTCAAAGATACATTTCCAGTGACCAATCAAAAAACATTTCAGTCTCCCAACATTTCATCAACCCAAGACCTTTGTGGCTGCGGAAAGTTGGGTGTGAAAACGCTGTCCATCACTCTCTATGTCCGGCATGAGGGACACTCTCTCTCACCAACTTTCTAAGCTTGTCTTTATGCAGGCTGAGCAGGTTGTCGTGAAAATCCCCCCTTGCCAAGCTTAATTTGTTGGCGTGTTTCGCAGATCGGAGTGTGCGTTTAGAAGGAGTAACCGTGCGTTTGTGGCCTGGTGGTTAGGCTCTCGGACTCTCAACCGTAAGGTCGTGGGTTCGAATCCCGTCAAGGACCCGACGTATTTGTCCTTGGGAAAGGCACTTGAATTTTCCTCACTTCACCCAGGTGGGAATGGGTACCCCGCTATAGACAGCGAACGATCTTGTCAGTTTGTTAGTGTTTGAGCGCTTAATCGGCTGCTTGCACTGTATATGCTTCCCGGGAAGCTGAGAATGTTTCGGAGTGAACTATGGTCTGCTGGGGTAACAAATTATAGTGTAAAGCGCATAGAGCTTGCTGTTGAGCGGGGATATGCGCTATACAAATGCTATCTATTATTATTATTATTGTACGTCTTTAAATTATATAGTTAAAAACTCGTCAGATGACGAAAGCATGCGTTAGAGCGGAGCGAGCTTAAATTTGTATGGCGTGCATTAATTTAGGCGGAGACTACTGTACCTAACCAACCATCACCAGCAGTTGAAAATTTATTGTAGGCCTAGATCTAGATCTACCCATGGCCATAGAGGTCAACTTGGGTAAGCATTCATTGGAGGGACCAGATCTAACAATAATAGGCCTAATGACACAATGACAGGTGAATGAATTATGACAGCCCATCCATGGTCCACAGCGAGAGGGGCGGATTCAAAATTTTTGACAAAGCGTCAGGCAATGAGTGACCATGCCTGGCCGCCTGAGTCTGAGGCACTGGCAGGTAAATTTGGCTGCGGGTTGATAAAATATGGTGGCCGCGGCCGCATTGGACAGTCTAGCCGTCCTAAAGTACTTATCTTAGGGCCTATCTTAACATTAGAAAACAAGTTACAAGTCTCATTCCAATTATTAAATTCAGGTATGTGCACTGTCAGTGGCAGTAAGGCACCTGGTTTCGCCTCCAAATACAAATACTTTAGGTGCTGCAAACTAAAAATTTATATTTACAATTCAGTAGGCCTATTTTTTGGGGTCAATCTAGCCATCATATAATAAGTACGGCTAACCCAGCTGTCTAGCCGTCATGCAGTCTTGCCTGCTAGTCTAGCCGTCATTAAAATTTATAAAGTATAATAAAGTACGGCTAGCCTCTTCCTTTTAAGTTTTAAGTTAATTAATAGTAATAATAGATCCCAAGACCTAGAATCTAGATCTAGATCTACACCTCACCTAATCTATTCGTGAAAAGTGTTTAGATGTCAAATTGTGTCGGGCAGTGCCAGCCATCAAGATTCTAGATCTAGATCTAGATCTAGATTCTAGTAGACTGCAAGTCGCTCCACACTTCTGTTTTTAAAATTTTGTTGTCGATCGATGTGAAACCGAAAGTAGGCTAGGCAGGGGACAGTAGTTTGTGTGAAAAGTTAGATTTAAATTGTTCTTGAATGCCTGTTTGGCACTTTATGGGGCAAAATTGGCCACCCTGGTGCTGGTGCTTTGTTCCTTTGCATTGGTCGACCTACAACTATAAGAAAAATTAATTATCTTTTTGATTTGTTGGACAAATAGCTACAGATGACATCATCGGTGTACGTGTTGGGCGGGGGGTGTACATCATGTGCTTTATTTCAACCGCTATTTTATCATCTTTATTGAAAGAAAAAAATAAGATACTATAGCTCTATATTGGCTTGGCCTCCTCTCG